GAGCTTTTCCAGCAACTTTGTTTTTGTTCCTGATTTGCAGCATCCGTAGTTCTTTTGGTTTTTACAACAGTAATAGGAACTGTTTGAATTTTTGTTGAAATGAATTAAACATCAACGACTAATGGCTGTTCAGTATTTCTCTTAAGGTCTTGACATATTACCCAACATGATTTGTCAGTAACTTATTTGACCAAGGGCAGGTCCAATGTTTTACAATGATTGAATAAATCAAATTTCATTTTTACTACATGGTATTCCAGGATTTTCACTTTTTAAGGTTGACAAACTGGAATCTATTTATAATTAGCCTATTGATTTATGGCAGGAATATAAAGTTGACTGTTTTATACAAAGCTGACTGAAATTCATAATTTCAGTACATTCTCTTTATTCATAATCTCATCAATTGGATTATGAGTTTCTTGGATTTTAGTTAGAGTTTCATGTTAGTTTTATTAGAGTTCCATTCCTTTTCTATCTATGCACTATATCTTTTTGCAGTGTATCCAATAATTTGTATTTGTATTGTTAATGCTTCTAATTCAGCAAAAATATTCTAAAATGCTTCATGAGAGATTATCAAAAATAAAACTCAAAACATTGGAAACCATGGGAAAACAGCAGCAATGTTTCTTACTTTCTTAGGACTTTAAAAAAATGAGCTGAAGGAGGAGATATTATGGGGTGACAAAAAGCCTGGTCAAAAAGCTGGATGTTGGGGTGGAGCAGGTGGGATTTAGAGGAGATTCCAGTGCATGAATTTAGACAGCTGCAGAGATAGTAGCAATGGCCCAATGGACAGAATCTGCTCCATGCACACAAAGGCCTGATCAGAAGAATTAAGAAGGAAGGGGAAATATCACATTTGAATGAACTTAAGACTTTTATAGTTTAAACATTGAACTAAGGAGCCAATGTAGATCTGCAGAGACAAAGGTGATGAATGGAGAAAACATGCAGGATAGAATATGGGCAAGCAGAGTTTTGGAGGAGTAGAAGCCTAAGGGTTGGAGTGTGGGTGCATATATGGTAGAGTTTAGAAGCAAAGGCACAAATCGTGTGGAAGGAGCACAAACAAGTCTAAATATGCTGACTTTATTCCTGACTCTTTAACACAAGCTGGTTTGAATCTTCACTTAATTGTGTACAAATATGGCATAAGAAATAGTAATAAATGAAAAATTCTGCAATTGCTAGCAATATGAAATATGAACAGTAAATGCAGTAGGAACTCAGCAGATTTGGCAGCATCTGTTGATTGAGAAATAGAGATAATATTTTGAGACTGATATGGCATCCATAGAACTGAAAAGTAAATTTATGTTGTTGGCAGAGAGGGTGTAGGAACAAGTGGAACAGATGATAGGGGTGCCCAGAGCAAAAGATAAAGGGAGTAATAAAGGTGGTAAAGGAGAGATATAAAGGAATCTTGTATTGGCATTATACTTGTTCTTGTTTCTTAGTATATCGTGTCCACGGGATATGAAGAGGATTAGCTAACTAATAGAAGGCAGAGAATTGGGAAAGAAGTATTTTCAGGATTGTGGGTGGGGGTCAACCTGTAACTAGAGGAGTGCCATAGGGATCAGTACTGAGGCCATAATATTTACTATATATATTTTAATGACTTAGACATGGAAAGTGAATGTACTATGACCAAGTTTACAGATGACACAAAAAAAGTGTGAAGGCAAGTGGTGAGCATAAATCAAAAGAATCTGCAGAGAGATATAGACAGGTTAAGCAAGTGGGCAAAATCTTGGCAGTTGGAATACCTTGAGGGAAATGTGAGTATATGCACTTTGGCAGGAAGAATGGAGGAGCTGAATATTATTTAAATGGGGAAAGACTGCATGAAGCTAAAAACAGAGGGGTTTGGGAGTCCCTCAGCATAAGTCACAAAAAGCTAGTACCAAGTTCAGCAGGTAAAGGGAAGGCAAATGACATGTTGGCCTTTATTTTAAAGGGAATGGAGCATACACTATGTGTAAGACATTAGTCAGACCACAGCTAAAATACTGTGAACTGTTTTGGGCCTCTTATCCAAGGAAAGATATATTGATGTTGGAGGCAGTCCAGAAAGGGTTTACTGAGCTGATCTCAGGTATGGAAGGACTGTCTAATGAGGAGAGATTGAGTATGTTGAGCCTGCACTCATTGGAGTTTAGATGAATGAGAGATGACCTTGTTGAAGCACACAACATTCTTAGTGGACTTGATAGAGTAGATGCAGAAGGTTTTTTAATTCATCTTGAAGTATTTTAGAATAGAAAAGAATCCCTATAGTCTGGAAACAGGCCCTTCGGCCCAACCAGTCCACCCAGATCCATCCCCTATAACCCACCTAATCTGCACATCCCTGAACACTACGGGCAATTTAGCATGGCCAATCCACCTAGCCTGCATATCTTTGGACTGTGGGGGGAAGCCGAGCCCCCGGAGGAAACCCACACAGACACAGGGAGA